GGTGGCGCTGCATAAAAAGTATTAAACAACAACATATTGTAATGGGACACAAATAAGCGACAAAATACATGTAAAAGCACTTCATGGTAATTTATAACTCAAAAGTTCTTTATATACATTAAATTGGGCGAAAGAAAACAACCTCATAACAAATGCCGCTACGGTTATTTGCGCTTGCAATACATACATGTATGTACTGCAATATAATACTTTATATATAACAATATGTAATAACCAGTTCTCTAAATCAAAGTAAATACTTTTTGCTACAAATCGTTTTCTTTCATAGCTACTTTAAAATTAACATTTGGAAAACATCCTGATTATACTTTTTTTTAGATACCAGTAGTGCGCCTGGTGGAAAGCGACACGCCTGTCCATAATAGTTGCAGTGCCACTCAGAGTTTTAAATTGCAAATATCTGAGTGGCACTGCCACTTCGCCCATTGCCTTAAGACTTAAGTTGACAACTCCGATGTGAATGTAATTTCACCAGTATACGTACCCTTCAAAACCGGAACACAGCATTGCTGACCTTACTGTTTGGCGGCAGAAATAGGTAGTGTAAATTTTGTATGCCCGCAAAAATATACATAATTTCAATGAAAAAGAAGATATCCATAATATTAACCTTAGAGCTAAATTCAAACTCATGGTACCACGATTTCGTTTTGTGACGGTGTGATCTCCTTGCATTGTCATCCCACCTTTTTTGCGCCTTTCTCCGGTTCCTGGCCACGAGTTTTTTAATTTAAATTTTGAATTATTCCATTCTTTTGCCTCACATTCTGATTTTACTTCGTTCCATCGTCGCTCCCTGTTTGATCGCGATAGCGGACGGAGCTGTTTAAATTCAATCGCGTCTAATTTTGATTATTTTACTAAGTTATAATCATTACAATATAATCTAAATCATGTGTCAATTCTAATAAGTGTATGTATAACTGTCTACAGCCTTATCATGTACATATGAATATGTATCTATAATTCAGTATAACTCGGCCCTTTTAGGGTAAGTGTCTACTTAATAACTCTTAGAATCCATCAAGTTAGGGTGTGTTTTTTTATATTAATGTTTCTTTCTATATACACCTTTTTATTGTTACAGCCTTACTCCTTACTTCTTTGTTACCATTTCTTCTTAACCAGACTTTTAAATAAATTTGTGGACCGGAAGTTTTCTGTTTTACTGCCGTGAACTTGGTCACGGCTTGTTAGGGTTACAACCCTTGCAGTTTAACCAAGGCAAACGACTCTTTTATGGGGAACTGTATACGTTTTTACAATAAGATTCCGGATCATATATTAAGATTATCATTTCCTAAGTTTAAAAACTACATTAAAAATATTTTGATTGAAAAGTCGCATTACAAAATTGAAGACTACGTGTTAGATAAAGATGTATGATAAGACGACATGGCTCCAGAATCCATACAAATTTGATTCAAAGTGTATTCCATAGCATTTATTTGAAAAGAGCAATCCCTAGAGTTTATTGCTCGTTCTTCTCAGGGAAGTCAGCGTAGTGAACGAGCACTAGCTCAAATGTGACGTTTTCAAGTGAAAATTTATTTTACCTATGGAATAAATGATTGTTTGACTTTGACTTTGACTTTGTGGCAGTACTTTCCTGGACAAACTCTTTCACAAAGAAGCTCTACTGCTTGAAAATCTATCTCATTTGAAATTCATCAGTTTGTTAATAGTAACTAAGTCAAAACCGTCTAGTTTCACGGTTGCTTCGCAGTACAATCTATACAACTCCCCATCATTTGGCTAATAATATAAACATGTATCTTATTTTCCTCTTTTCATTGACCATAGCTATCGATTGATCACAGTGGTATGACATATGTATAAAGGGATTTAAAGATTTGTTCCTCGGCATTAGTATTGCAACAATGGTGCGAAGAACTGTTATTAGTGTTCAGTTATTATTCGTCATCTGTTGTGCTTATGTACGTAAAAAAACTATTTTTCAATTATCATAATAACAACGCAACTCAACGCACACACACGTACCCCGCAATAGGGAAACCCTGTATCACGGGTGCCAAGGAGATACACATAGACAACCACATATTACATCTAAACTTTAGTAGCAGTAGAGCATGTTGCGAAAGTGTTCGTCCAGGGAAGTACTGGCACCATACCTATTTCTGCCGCCAAGCAATAGTCAGCATTACTGCGTTGCGGACTTGAAGGGTGCGGGAGAAAATACAGGCACATGGGACTTGTCAATTTATGTCTCAGGGTGACGGGCGCAGTGGCAGTGCCCCTAAGATCTTTGCGATTTAAAAATCTAAATGCGCATGAAAAAACTAAAATAAATGTAGGTCATACAAATATTTCTCCCGGCCCTGGAATCGAACCCAGGACCTCTGCTTGGCAGACCGGCGTGTTAACATTCGGCCACAGGGGCAGTTAATAATATAAAAACGAACATATTTATTTTTTTATAGAATATTATTGACTTTTTAGTACCATAATATTCATCAATTTTTTTGTGGAAATACTCTATAACAAACACAAAGAAAAATTTCTTCGATCCGATAGGACTCGAACCAGTGTCTGTTGCCTTTTCTTAATTGTTAAAAAATAGGTGTGCATTTGACGTCATCGTCGCTTCTTCATCAGGTGAGTTGAAACCTGATGAAAAAGCGACGATGAGGTTGACGATTTGAAAAGGCCCAAGTTATAGCGTTCAGGGAACAAGTGCAGAGAAGAGAAGCCATTCGTCATATAAATGTGGAAATGAAGCGCTTCGTAGGAATCCTTGGAATATCCACTACATAGGGGTAGAGCCCCAACCTACGTCTAGTCCCCCGATTTATTCTTATGGAATATCATGATGAAAACATCACCACGGAAGAAAAAACAATGAAAACACACCACCAAAGACATTATTGCAAGTGCGATTATCATTTTTGCACGCCAAAGTAACGAAATAAGGCATTTTTCTACGATTTTCGAGGTTTTGCGTAAGACAATTGACACGGCCATAAAGCTAAAGAGAAAATGGCGAACTTAGCTCATGTTTGCGGAACTCCGCGAACCGTTGGCACACATGCCATGCAAACTTAGCACTTGTACTGTATTTATCACGGTATTTATTGTTTTATATTTACTACCACGATATTCATGTTATATATTTCTTCGAGTTCAGTGGAATCGTAGGAATTTTTCTTTGTGTTTGTTCGTACTTTGTATCAATAATAATAAAAATTACGGTTTCTTTTTTTGTCAACAACAAATACTTAAGTTACTTCAGAACTTTTTTAACTAGTTACTCTTGACGAAGGTTCTAAGAAATATTGGCGCTAGCGAATGGGTATGTAATATTCAGTTATATTGTTTTAGACACAAAGTTTTGATGACGTATTTAAAGAAGTGGACAATAGTGACCCAGACGCAGTAGCAGCAGCTGAAGCTGCTGTAAAGGCTCAAAGTGAAAAAACAGGCTTCGAAGACATAGTTTTAAATATAATAGTCAAAGGCGAGAGGATAAACATTTATGGCTACTATTATTATTATATTAATTTCTTGGCTGTCTCTAATAGAGAAAATATTATATTTTATGATTGTAATACATCTGTTCAGAGATTTAGTTCTAACATAACAGTTAACGGTGTCGATTGTACGGTGGTTTAACAAGGTTAGTTGCAATAATGTCGTGAAAAAAGTTTGACATTGCCACTTTACAGATACAACTGCATTCGTGCTTGTATGTACCATATAATTCTTTAATCGTGAGTAATAACATCAATTATATTAAAATTGTTTACGACGATCACATTATCAAACTTTGTCATCGAATTTCCAATTGTAACAGTGATGTAATAATGCAGTAAACGATTCTTATGTGTAGGAATGAAACTATTTTTCCGGATTTCGGTCACGGTTGACTCAACCGTGCGGTCAGTCAACCGTGACCATGGGACCTGTAAAGGGCCCGAAACGTCGGTTTGTTTGAAAAAACAAATATACGCGATTTAAATCCGGAAAAATAGTTTCATTCCTATGTATAACAATCGCGAAAACCTAAGAACTCGATTCTTATGTGTTTAACCTGCTTTGTACTTATTTTATCACTACAGTTTATTGGTTTTTTACCACGTCACAAACTACCATGAATAAACAAGAAACTCTTAAAATGTTGTTAAAATTATTTTGATAGTTATAATTCATAGATGGCGTGTAAATCATTATCAGATTAAGGACGTCCTCAAAAGAGTCCAGATAAAAATTACCATTAAAACTAAGAAATTTTGTGAGCTATGTCAAGAACATAAACAAGTGGAAGTTCATAGTTTCCACCTACCTTTTTGTGAGACAGGCGGTGTACGTATGTATGTGTACGCACTTTGTGTATGGTTTTAAAATGACTTTTCATTGAAAGTAAAATAGGCTTGAATACATCAAATACAGGGTTTATTTTTATGAAACGTTGAAATATTTTTGAACATTTAACCCGTATGCAATAAAAATCTTCTAAAAATATGATTTGAAAACATATTTGCATGAAATAAAGAACCCTATTATTATTTTCAATGGACATTATAACGCCATCTATGCCTTGGGAGAGGTAAGTTGTCTCTAGCGTGAGTAGTTGCACTTGGTAGTAACGTAACAAAATGCTAGATGTCGTAAGTATATTGAAATGTTGTGACCTCCATCTTTTAAATAAGGCTAATTTTATGCAGTAACTCTTCCGTAACTTTTCAGTAACAGTTGTCGCTAGCTATCGTGTAAAATAATTGTATAGAAAATATTACTTCTTCTTGTAACCGCTAGGGGGCACTATATAAAATAGAAATATTTCTATTTCTATTTCTAAAATAACTGAAATACCGAACGAGTAGTTGTTTCTAATAACAAAGAATTTGAAAGTGTAAACCAGATACATTTTTGTGTTATCCTGCACAACATGTCCATAACTGAAAATGGAATAACGATATCGTGGAGCTTTCCCTTGGAAAGCAAGAAAGGCATTTAGGTACCTTATCAGCCTTGTCGGTGGGGGGCGAAGCGGGGGGACTGCGTGGGAGGCCTAGGTCCTCGTCGTCGTCGCTGCCGTCGCCGCGCCCACGCCGCCTCACCGCCGCCACTAGCTCTGCCTGCAAATAAAGGAAACATTGTTTGAATAATTAAAAATTACAAAAAAATGTATACGACACATAGTCACTTTATATTATCACTTTACCAATTGTGTTATCGTTATTATATTGCAAACTCACTATGTTATACTGTCGTTAGGGTGCGTACAGATCTGACGAATGCGCCGCAAATTTGCGAAAGGTTCGCGAGCTGCACACGAGCATTACGCTGTGCGATCTGCTCGCGTGCCGTCCGCGCGCCGTCGTGTGGCACATATTATTAACATGTTTTTTTTATAATATCAAGGCAACGGTACGAACAAGTCATGTGACTAATAGTAAGCTATACGCCTGTCCATAACAGTTGCAGTGCCACTCAGAGCTTTAAATCGCAAATCTGAGGGCACTGCCACTGCGTCCGTCACCCTGTGACATAAGTTGACTAGTCTCATGTGCCTGTGATTTCACCTGCATGTATTTAATTGTACGCATGCACGCGTGCAGTCTGCGGGTCATGCGTCATGATACCCTAATGTTGAAAAAGTACGGCCATTGGAAGTCCTTTATTAAATTACACAAAAGTGTTTGCCTATTTGACTACTTTGATTTAAGTCGCGAAACCGACCAGAGCGCGTTAAGAGGGAGCATGCCAAAAAAGTTTTGACGTTGGCACCGTCCAAATTTGTGAAACAAATATATGCTTGAAGTTCGCGTGACATGCGACAGGAGATGTTGAATTTTGCGCATTAAAAGTACCAAATTTGTTTTAGCGGAATAACTCTAAAACTAAAGGGATTAAAAAAAATCCGTAGTGACAGTTGTCGATCATGCATAAATATAATTAATTATCTAATTTTTGTCCTAATGGTTATTAGGTTGTAGCATTTCGAGGATAAATCGAAAAAATGTGAAAATTAGAGGTCATTTCGTGATTTTTATCTATCGAGGAAACTTTATTGTTTTATGTTTCTGATTAATGTCTATACTTGAATATATCGTGTAGTTACTCATAGAATATTTTATTTTTAACTTTATAGTGGATATACCCCTTTTAAAATCAAATCGAAGATTAGGAATTTTTCCTCTGCTCCCTCTTAACGGTGAAGGCTGTTATTTAGTTAACAGCCAAATAAGGCATATACTTTGTCACACATTCGAATTACACATGCCCTGGCGATTGTTTGCCAAATATATCAAATACGTAAAAACAAAGCAATTGTCTTTAGGGTCAAGTCATCGAATATGTAACCAGAAATAGAGAAGAAATAAGGACCATCCACCCCTGGCAACTCATCAGCCAAATGGGCCTTATATCACTTTTAAATATCAACTGTCGTTTGCGCTGAAATCACAAATTAGAAAGCTGAAATAGTACAGCGCCAACAACTGGCCTGTATGTACGTATCCGTATATTCCAAAAATATTCTGTATTTATTGTAATAATAAACAGCAAAACATCTAATTACAAAACAAACGGAAATACATTTCAATGGTAATTAAATATTAAATATGTAATTTGTCAATTTCCGTCCATATTCTCAAAGCTCAAGTTAAACTGGTCAATATGAAGTGAAACAATTGACGACACTCGTCAATTGTTGCTAATTCGGGCTGGCCAATTGGATCGCAGTTGTCACCGTAATGATTTGGCAGAATAGTTTTCAAACAAATTAAATGACGTTTCGTCTCTATTTCTGGTTATATAATGGATGGGCCAAGTACATAACCTGTAACTAATACATACCTATTTATTGTAATTGATTGTGTTTTGAGTTTATGCGCCAAATAAAATAAAAACATATAAGTATATTGAATATAGATGAAAATTAATAGGTATGGTATTAACCCGGGTTTTAACCCGGCGCTTTGTTAAGTCTTAGTAGTTAGGACTCACAGGATTGCGAGGTTGGTATTGTGAGAGTTACCCACCTCTTTTTCGTCTAAAAAAGATTTTTTTTTCTTCCAAATTTTTCTTCGTAATAAGTGTGGAATTGCAACAAGTTCCGTATTCACCGTTTCGGCCCAAGACTGGACAGAAATGGGTTAAAACTTTGAACAAAAACCCGGTTAAAACCCGGACGGATTGGGTTTTTACTCACTGCCCATCTCTGCTTACTATTAAACACTTGTACGATCAAAACTAGTTCATGTGGTACAACTCGGAGGAAGGAAACTCTCGCGCATTGATACGCCTTATCACTTCCCGAGGCTTATACACATTTGTAATAATATGTATAATGTTTAAGTACTTCCCCAGTTCGTATTATATTGTTTACGTTTCACAGGACTGAATATTCCTCGCGGTTGATAAACATTGGTTGTTTTTGTTTTAACTCCAAAGAACGATTAACTTAGAATCGAACGCTGATTAATAAGCTGCAGCACAAGTATCTTGGCGCTTATTCATGAAAATGAAAAGAGTGTTGTGCTGACGAAAACTTTACATACAACTTAGAATCCGCATCCTGCACTGTTATATCTAGCCTGTAGTATCCTCCGGTCCTTCCAGCCGCTTAGATTATTGGGAGCTGGAGAGACGTCGTTTTTCGGCGTCGGGAAGTGAGCGTGCCTCACGGCTCCGCCACCAATGAGGAGATTTGGTAGTGGACTTTAAAGTCAACGGCATAGCGGTAGCAACTGCTACTTGTGCAATGCGCGACGGGAAGTGAGCGTGCCTACAGCTCCGGTACTTATCTGGAGGGTATTGTTGGGCGGCTCACCGGATGAAGTCAACTGACAGAGATCTGTGACAACCATGAACACTGGCTGATCTGGGGTCAGAACCTGGATTTGTAAGGTTCCTGTGCGCGCACAGGTTATAGTGCCCTTCTCGTATACCCTGAGGGTCGGGGAGGGTCCTACAATAAAAACTAATGTAAAAAGATATAAGGGTTGTTATATCTAGTCAATCGTTATGTACGGTAGAGAGGCATAGACCACCAAAGAAGAAACCAGGCGGCGTCTCGACGCATTCGAGAAGTGTCAAGTCAAGAACGAAAAACAGTACTCCTGCACATTAACACATCACGCCAGCTGATGCGGACCATCAAGAAACGCAAAATTGCACATTTCAGTCACGTGCTTCTACGCTATAGATATTGTAGTCTAGGCTCTACTCTATGAGTAGAAATACTGGCTGAATGAATATAGGTTTGTGTGTGGAATGTATTTAAAACATAAGATAGAAAAAAGAGGAAGATCTTGGCAATTCTAGATTGAGATTCCAAATTGAATACATGTTTACAGTTATATTTATGAAATAATAGTCGTTTCTCTTATAAAAGTATCTCTCGCAAAGATACCTGAGCTACGCAAAGTCCTATAATACCGTCTGTTGAAGCAGATTATGATGGGTAACAATGAAGGCAAGAAACGCGCTGGAAGACGTAAAAAGTCATGGTTACGCAAAATAGGGGGAGTGGACCGGAGTCACGAGCGCGGAACAACCGTTTAATTTGGCCATTGACAGGGAAAAATTCATTCATTTCAGTGCCATTATCTCGAATGTTACCAAATTGTGAATGTGTTAGTTATGACAATGTGGTCAGATATATACACTATTAGAACAAATTTTCAAAAAGATTCTGTTCCTGATTTGACAATGTTTGTTTATGTTTGGGTGCGTACAGATGCATATGTGCCATTGACTTACAAATAAATGGACGACGGGTCTAATACGAAAACCACGAAAAAAATGTCCCAAGTCAACCTATTTAAACGTAGTGACATGTCAAGGAATATGAAAAAGCTAAAACGTTGAATTTAAATTGTAATGTCATCGCAGTACTGTCTAATTTTGCTTGCTTCGCTGTCAGTCGAACAAACGAAGACTAGAGCGTGAATGACGCTCTGTATACGATTTTAACGCCCTATAAGTTCGGACACTTTTTAGCGCGGACCCGACGTCCATATAATTGTAAGTCAATGATGTGTGCAGTTAAATATATGCGGTGCGTGTAAAGCACGTGTGCAGCTCGCGGGTCTTTCGCAAACAGGCGAATTTGTGGCGCATTCGACAGACCTGTACGCATTCTTGGCAACCAATTACAAATTCGAATCTTTTTTTCCGAAATAACGTTTGTTCGAATTTTCATTACACCGAAAACCGAATTATAACGAAACCGTTGTTCTTTCAGGATATGTTGGATGTTTATGGCAAAGACACGATTAGGTTCGGTTACATTAGGTTAAGTTAGGTTTAAAATAAAAAACATTTTCCTCTCTAAATTCGAGGTTATGAAAATTCGAGCAAACGATATTTCTGGAAAGTGTCGCAGTGGTATTAACATAGCATGCTCCATCGTCGACTTCATTGCCTCTGTAGATTTTAAGACTTTCGTGGTTATTCACTAAATGATTATCACTAGTATCAGGTTTCTTACCACGGTATGACTTCTTTTTATTTCCCCGATATTTCGGAACGGTTGCACGCTCCGTGGTCGCGGGTTGAGTTCAAGTCAACCCGTGACCAGGGAGCGTGCAAAATATATAATCATTTATTGCCTCTTTCCAGCAGGTGAGATGGAAGTCAAATGCGCACTTATTTATTAGAGACCCCCGACACTAGCATCTTTGGAGCGTCAGCGTCTTGCCAACGCACGCGACGTACGTACGTACGTAGCATCCCTTCTAATTTGTGGACGCACCGCCATCGCTGGGCGACTGCTGAATAGTGCCGAACGTCGGGTATATGTTGCCCTGGCGTTGTGTCGCGGTCGCGCGGGTGTCTTAATAAAAAAGCTGCCTATTCACATAACTACATAGCAGTATTTACATAATCTCGCAAATCTACACATTACTAGATTCTATGTCGTCAATTTGTAAAATTTTGGTTAAAATATATTATTGATTCGAAATGTAATGTTCCCTTTATGTCTTTACTTTCCTTAATGGTACTCAAATGTCATTGTCCTGACCACAAAAGCAAAGTTTTTGCAGGTAAATAAAGTTTTTGGACGTTTTTATGTTAGAACCAATTAGGAAATGATATTGATAACCCAGAAAGGTGTTACCATTAGTAGGAAAATATTTAAAAAAAATTTATTAAAAAAAACCGAGCTCAAAAGTTTTTTAATTCAATTGAAATCGGTTACCGGAAAGCGCGCGAAACTGGATTCATCCCTTACTTTGCCACCCTTAGAGCTGAAATATTTTATTCAAATTTAAATGAGACCAATACTAAGGTACCCTCTTTCCAACAAAAAAAGAATCATTAAAATCGGTTTACAAACCGGAGTAATCGCGTAACACACTTACAAAACACAAACAAAATACACACAAATTGAAAGTCCTCCTTTTTTCAAAGTCGGTTAAAATTTCGTGGAGAATTCACGGACAATTGAATAATAAAACATACCCATAATCTTGCAACCTTTCCTTCTGTGACCCAGCAAAACCGTTTCTTCCATGTTTGGCTCATAATTTTAACGTAACACACAAACAACACTTAATCTTACTTTGGCATTATCACAGCTCACTCAAATACACTATTTTAAGCACGTAACTACTTGTATGACGTCTTCGATTGAAATAAATTTCCAAATAAATACACCAATATGTTTTTAGAACCGCTTAACCGAGAAACACGTCCATTAATTGAGATTGGTCAGAATATATTGAATAATATGATTAATAGAACTTGAGTCATTTTATATGTTTCGTCAGTCGTAGATGGAAGGAAATGAATGTACAATATTGCACATCGGCTATAATAAGTATAATTCCAAGGAATTGTCTTGTTGAACAAATTTCTGTGGCTGGTTTTCAGCCTATTGATTTTCCTCCTATGCATAACTGTTTCATTCCATAAACAAAGTGGCGCGCTCTTCAACCACTTGTTATTTATACTTTTTTTTATAATAAA